TGACAACTGCACTGCTGAAAAGATCAAATAATCAATTATTCAGATGGCAGCAACTGAATTGTTGACAATCAATTGACAATCAATAACAGAATCATAATTGGAGTCATTTAAAAAAAAAAAATTTGAATACCAAAACATTTTCTGGTGACAGCAGAATCACAAATCCAGTCGATGTAAAGAAATACTCATATTTCTGCATTACAACCTCCCAATTCAACTTAAACAAACAACCTTGGTAATAAATCCGCTGGTTAACACTTGAGCACTTTCCAGGCACATCATTTTGTGCCAGTTTTATATCAGATAACTAACAGTAGAATCTAATTTAGCATATTAATACTGGAGGACAGATATGGGCAGGTGTTAATGGATAAAATATTGCTTCAGGTACTCCACATTTCTCTCATTGTATAAAGAAATCACTGATGTGAGGGGACAAAAGAGGACGAAGAGGACGAAGAGAACAAATATTATGCAACATTGCCTGACAGTTCAATGACCTCATCCTGCTTTTCATCTCAGCTTAGCTCAGTTTGAATCACTTTGATTATCCAAAAGGGATATTTAGCCTGTAGTGGGACTGAGTGAAAACACAAAATACAACATATTCACAGAAATGAGACAATATCATATCAAACACATGGAATACACCTTATATATCTACTTGTGACTTAATGTATAACACTGAGGGAGACTGTATCAAAAAAATAATATATCTAAGCTTGTGTGCTTTGACCAACAGGTGTCACTTAAAATTGGAAATTACAGAGTTCAGGTTTAATATGGGTGATTCAGCCTTTGTGAATGGGTACAAGTAATTAAAAAACTGCACAAATAAAGATCAAAAAAGCCCAGAGAGAAGCTCACATGTGGGAATGATCAATCAATGAGAACCAGGTGTTTGAAGGGTGGAAAAGCTACAGGTGCAGCTAGCAAAAAACTACAGATTTTGTTCTGCTTGCATAGATTATACCAGCTGTTCTAACAATGTGAGAAGGTGACTCAGTTTTTTATGAACACTTCTCTCTACCACGTCTCTCAACAACCACCTGAGAAGGCATCCTGGGATGGCCTACATACCAAGTCTAACAGCCTCCAGGGTTGCTGTCTGGTTCTTATATTTGTACTGTCTTTGTCTCTTTGTCCAACAGTATTTGAAATAACAAAATGTCTGCAAATATTGCATTACATTTGTAAACAACAACAACAACAACAACAAAAAAAGCTGCGAACTAGTTTGTATAAAATACTGCCAATCAGACAGCATCTCTGCATGGTGAAGTGGTGTTACTTTCTATAGGAAAATACCTGTAGGTCACCTGAGACGAGATGAGTTACGCGCGGTGAGCTATAGGAAAATACAATGACACCTGAGCCTCCACTCTTCCTTCACAATGGCCTTGGGAGGTGGGCCGGGATCGTAGTGGCTGAGCTCAGTTTCCTGCATGCTTGTCTTGAGATGAAGTACCCTCTCCCGCTCCACCTCATTGTTCCTCCCAATCCCCTCCATTATTTTTGCACATCCAATTATTCATTCTATTCATCCTAATCAGCTGCAAGCTTATCATCTCCCCTAGTAGCTCCTCTCAACTCCCCAAGAGGACACACAGCAGACTAGGTCACAAAAGGTTATTCGAGAAATTATTGGCAGTCGTGCAAATCACTTTCTGTGTCCCGCCTTATGAATCAAAGATGCATATTCTTTAGTTGGGGATATATTCTAAACTCCAAGTGTTTTCATAACAATACACTACTAAAGACCTCCCTTTGAGCTGTCATTTCATGCTGCTTGTAGTAAAAGATTTGCATGGTAGTGCCGCAGTGCTCTAGGAATTAACAACCAGTATTAAAAGGCACAATCTGTGATCCCAATATAAACAAAAAGGTCAAACAAAATTCGAAAACACAGGATTAGAACGTGCTATCACTTCTGACTGGTTGACACGTCTCTCAGTACAAGGACAAATACACACTACACACTAAATACACACTACTACACACCTTCATAGCTGCAGTAAACTCAAATTTAGTTGTTGTACCTGGTTCCAATCCTGTGCCTTGAATTGGGGGCGTGTGACTACCCTTTTGTTTAAATTGCTAAAACACCACTCAAGCAAAAGCTCATGCGTTTGTCCATATGACCAGCTTTTCAATTACATGTGATTATATTCCACCTGTAAACACATATCCTGTTTAATTTATAATATATTTGAATTAAGGCAATTAAGATTTATAGCTATTAAGCTGTCACATGCAGTTGCTAATCCAAGTCAAAGAGCTGGTGACAGAGATTAATCTTTATCACTATGTAGACTTAAACCTTACATGTAAAACCTGTCAGAGAGACAACCAGATTTAAAGAAATGTCCATGTAGCTACAGCCAAACGCTTTCTATTTCAACTCTATGGCGCCTACTGTATCTAATGACTCCAAGGACACAAGAGTGTTTTTACTTTCATTTGACCAATTCACTCGACACCTGACACTCCACGACTACAGTATGATATGGAGACTGCGCACCGTGTAGGGCTGCTCAGGTCATGCATGTAGTGCGGAGACAAAGATGTATAATGTGAAATGCTGAGAGGGCGTTCAGGCTCAAGATTAATCTCAATTATATAACATACTCAGTGTGGTAACCACGTCAAACAACCAAGCCCACCTGCCACTACATGGATGAACCGAGGTGGATGGATGAACCAACACAAACCTGGTTAATTGAACTGTCTGCGTAAAAATCAAGCGCTAGACACAATTAGAAAGGATCAGACAATGCAGTTTGGTTTACATAATAACAGATTTACATATCTGAAAGGAGTGGTAGGAACACTATTTTTAGCATTTTCAGCTGTACTCTTTTGGGAATGCAGTGTGATACTGTGTAAAGGCAAAAAGAGCCTTTGGAAGTATAAAAATAGAACATAACATTTAGATACAGTATGTTTTCCTGATACAGATATGCGTTTGACCCCTAAAGGACAAATTTAGGATTGTGCATGAGGTAACCTGAATGCAGATCAGGAGAACTTCCACCTGAAAGAGTGTGAGTGAAGAGGGAATTAGTGTGAGTGTGCAGCAGACGGCAGGGCACCTGGGATTTGGGAGCGCACATGAGTGAACTATCAAGTCTTTAGGGCCCAAATCAGGCAGGCGGACACAGAACGGATGTGGCCAGGCGATAAAAGCTGTCTGCACCCAGAGGGGCCTCAGTCCACTTCCCATGGGTAAAACTCCTTGACCCTGAGGCTCAACATCCAGCACAGTGGCCATGTTATCTGCTGCCTGACCGAGACAATCATTTGTCAGCCGTACTGACATATAACATTTTGACACATACACTATGAGTATGTGCTTTATGTTGTCAAGTGTGTTGTATGTCTAATCTTGTAATATTGTTGTAGGCTTGAGTTTCAGTATGTAATTACAATGAATATGTCATACATAGACAAATCAGCTACCTACTTGTATGGAGTACCATGGGAAGGTGCTATAAATTCACCGCATCCTCATAACATGATTAATAATACGACAAATTGTACAGAATGGGGTCAAATAAATCGTCCCCCTTTCTCCATCCCTATACGCAGCATCTGGAATTTCATGTCCATGCAATCAATGGTACACAGTTCCCTTAGGAGTTTGAATACACACACAAATAAACCCCCTCTACTCCCCTAACAAAAGTATTGTACTGAAAGGACTATGGCAAATTTAGGCCACAAAGGAACAGATAGAGGCGTGCAGCTTGTCTGTTGGATGTGTGATGACTGCATGGCACGCTGCTGATAAACTATAAATACGACCAAGACGTGCTGAAAACTAATGTGATCGCTTTCCCTATCACTGGTAGGCCTAAAATATGTCAAGCATCCTCATTTTATAAAACACCCAACAAGATACAAGCAGTTACTCTCACATCGGTCATTTTTTTTTTTTTCATTACATAATAATAAACATCTGGTAGGTGATGACTTAGTTTATCTCCACTGCCATCCTTCTTTATAATTTGAAAGAGAAAAGCAGAGGAAATGCCATGTGACAGAAGTGGATCTGCTGTGAGGCCAGCTCTTCACTTACCCAGCCGACATCAAAAGACATGAGGACCCTTCAGTGAGGGCCAATTGGATTTTGAGTCTTGATGTTTAAAGAGAGCAAGATGGCGGGGAGAGGGTGTGTGAAGTAACTAAAGAAACTGTTATTATGGATACTAACACTATAAACCTTGTACTGGGAAAGAAGTATAAACCATAACAATGTAAACATACTGTTAAACCTTATTGTTAAGACAATTATGATCAATTATTTCCCATTACATTTACTATCAGTTAGATTTGTGTTAGGATAAACTCAACAGAAGCTGCACTCTAGTTCATGTGGACGTTAGTTAATGGGAGAACTTATTATAAACAATGGTCACACTAATAAAGTAATACATGAGAAACATGGTAAAATAGTAATTCATTAATTTGAAACGTATTGAGAGAAACTGCTGAAAAATAGATGTCAGTACATATCAAAAATCAAAACCAGGTTAATCTGGTGCAGGTAAATCTCGTGTATCAGCCCAGTATAAATACATTTAATCCACATAAGAAGAGGATAAAAAACTGTTAGTGATAATGTTGAATTGGTCATTTCGGCTCTAACACACAGACGGTTCATTCAGTGTAATAACCTATTAATATCAGGAGCCTTCTTTTTGGGCCAGTTATAAAAATCTGTGTTGAGTGTTACTTATGTAACAATGTTTTGCCATTCAGTCTCTAAAAGCTTTCATGGTTGGCTCTTTGGTGATGTTTCATACACAGGTATGGTGGTTTGACCATTATGTCAAAGAAAGATGCTCATATTCTTCTCTCCTGACACACTCTACAGGGATTGGATTAAAGCACAAGGCTCCCAACCCAGCTCCCTGTCTATGACTCACTAAAATGCAGCTTAGCCAGTGATCAAGCTGTGAGGGGCCACGATCACACACTGGGACTGCAGGCCTGCCCTTCTGCTCTGACCCTGCAGCTGGAGGTGCCGCCGGGAGCATGAGTGTGGGAAGGATCAATCGCTACAGCATTGTGTCATCAGAGGAAGAGGGCCTCCGCCTCACTACCATGCATGGCATGAACGGCTTTGGCAATGGCAAGATCCACACACGCCGCAAGTGCCGCAACCGCTTCGTCAAAAAGAATGGCCAGTGCAATGTGCAGTTTGCCAATATGGACGACAAGTCACAACGCTACATGGCTGATATCTTCACCACATGTGTTGATATTCGCTGGCGATGGATGCTGGTAGTCTTCACTCTTGTGTTTGTTCTCTCCTGGCTGGCCTTCGGCTTAGCCTTTTGGGTCATCGCTTTGCTGCATGGCGATCTGGATAACCCAGCCGGAGATGACAACTTCACTCCATGTGTCCTACAAGTCAATGGATTCGTGGCTGCCTTTCTATTCTCCATTGAAACACAGTCTACCATAGGTTATGGCTACCGCTGTGTGACTGAGGAGTGCCCAGTGGCTGTCTTTATGGTGGTCTTCCAGTCCATAGTGGGCTGCATCATTGACTGTTTCATGATTGGCGCCATCATGGCCAAGATGGCGAGGCCTAAGAAGCGAGCGCAAACACTGTTGTTTAGCCACAATGCGGTAATTGCCATGCGGGATGGAAAGCTGTGCCTCATGTGGAGGGTAGGGAATCTTCGCAAGAGCCACATTGTTGAGGCGCATGTCAGGGCACAGCTCATCAAACCTCGGATCACAGATGAGGGGGAATATATTCCTCTAGACCAGATAGACATTAATGTGGGCTTTGATAAAGGCTTGGACAGGATTTTCTTGGTTTCACCCATCACTATTCTTCATGAGATAGATGAGGAGAGCCCCCTTTTTGGGATCGGCAAACAGGACTTGGAGACAGCAGACTTTGAGATTGTCGTCATCTTGGAGGGGATGGTTGAAGCAACCGCCATGACCACGCAAGCTCGCAGCTCCTACTTGGCCTCTGAGATCCTTTGGGGTCACCGGTTCGAGCCAGTCTTGTTTGAGGAGAAGAACCTGTACAAGGTGGATTACTCTCACTTTCACAAAACCTACGAGGTGCCGTCCACCCCCCGCTGCAGTGCCAAGGACATGGTGGAGAACAAGTTCCTAGTCCCCAGCTCTAACTCCTTCTGTTACGAAAATGAGCTGGCCTTCCTAAACCGCGATGATGAGGAGGAGGATGTAGGTGGTGGGAGCAGGGCACTGGCGAACCTCAGTCCAGACCGGAACAGCCGACATGAGTTTGAACGCTTACAAGCCACCAGGGCACTGGATCAAAGGTCATATCGTAGAGAGTCGGAAATATGACCTCTACCCATGACCCTGGGTTAACTTTCAATAATCTTATCCAAGGGTAATAATGCAGAACAATGCAAAGTGCCATAGGAAAAGCTGACTACTGTGAAAGATTGGAAAAGAAATAGGACGACAATAAAAGGGACATCTGGAAGGAAAGGGGGAAAGCAAGAGTACACAGCTTAGAAATTGTGGTGAGGAATGTCTACAATCAAGGAAAAGGCTAGAGAAAGACCTTCTTCCTTCATGGAAACTTGAATCTTTTTTCACATGGTCATTTTGAGTTAAGAGTGTTCAATGATAGAGCATCAAAAACTATTATGACAGAACCTTGTAATCAAATTTTAGGTGTAAATACATTACTTAGGTAAGTTATGTTTTGTGTGCAGTATCAGTTTCCAAAAGCACCTCTAAAAAATTAGAAGTTGCTATTTCAACTTGTTCTTGGGCACAAATAACAGTGTTACAAGGCTTCTCTTAAGCTCTCCTTGCATTGCTGTAATTTGCTGGACCTGCGTTCAGTGACACGTTGAAAATTCATGCACTGTAGAATTCAGATGCAATGAGCCATGATAAAACATCTGACCATGAGCCACTTAGAACAACATAATTCAACACCTTCATTTTGGTATTGATGTGATCCCAAAATCTACCAATATAGGGAGAATAGGCTAAATTAATTGCACTATAAAGAACATGAAGGAATATGTTGAACAGATATATAACTGTATAGAGAAACACTATTTATATAATCTCTTAATGCCTCATATTTTAATCTTCTCTTTAAAACAAACATCTTACAAGCCACTAACATCATACTTTGGCTGTACTAGCCTATAAATATTGCTAAGTAGTCAGGTAAAGTAAAACTAAAGCACAAATAGTGGACAACCAACTTAAATAAACATTTTGTAGTTTCACAAAATTTCATTTTTGCAAGATACATAATGCAATATTCAGGTCTGAATTGATCAAATTGATAAATAAATAACAGCAATTTGTACTTTGTAACCCCACTAAGAAATGCACCTTAAAGTCTACCTTTACTTTCACAACTTGAAAAATAAACTAAGGTAAACTAAAACCTGTATGTTAGCAGTATTTAGAAAGTTTTCTTCCATTTCATTTGGAAATTAAGACTGTAACATCTGGCATAAATTGATCACAATTTGTTTCTGTTCTCTTTAAAAATGAATCTATGCATATTGTTAAATGTATCAGGGGATAAGAATTGAGTTCTGGGTGAGATGAAATTATGTATTGACATTGCTTTAGTAAATGCCTAATGCCCAATTTCCCAATAGTAGCTGTTTACATTTATCTAATCTATTTGACAAGAGTTAAACTTAAATATATTTAAAAATTTAAATTTTCATCTTCCTGATGCATTTCTTTCTGATGCCAGAGAGTTGCCCTATCATCAAGCTGGATTCGAAATGTAAGGCCTGGGTGTTTCTAACCACCGAACAAACATCCACTTCAAATGCTAAACAAACAAGTGCCATAAGGGCAAAAGTGTCCACAGCACTATGCACGATATGGTAATAAGGTTTTCCAAACATATAAGCCAACTTACAGTAACTGGGCCTACATTTCTATTCATTTAACATCAACAGTCAGTAAATCTAGCTACTCTCTATAATGTTGATGACAGAGTTAGTCTGTTTCTAATTTTACCTGGGTTATAGACAAGACAAGATATCATTCAATTATTATATGACAAATGTATCCTTTAACGAGTAAAATGAATGGGCCCAACACTATGTTATGGCTAAAAACCTGTTATTACTGTCATTCCTGTCCAAACATATACATGAGCAACAGCACAGCAAAGACAAAATCACTCACTCCTTTTTCCCTCCTCATATTGATCCCTCTGGCATTTACAAACATCACACACTGTAGACATCTAAATGCATTTCTAGCAATATGCTAACATGGTGAATTACGACACTGGACCAAGGTCTGAATGGAAGCAATAAACACTGAAGCACATCTTTCGGAATAATTTTAGTAAGCATATTCTTAATGTTTCTCTTGTAATACAGTGAACAAGCATATTTATAACTCTTGATTCACAGATAACAAGTGAAGGGAATGGTGTGAGGAGAATGACCCTACGTTTTTTTGTTTTTATTGTACTTGTATGCATATGATTTCTTTGTGCAGATGTTTAACTCAGATTTGATACCAAAGTAATGGAGTGTAGCTGAGACCCAAGTTTTAAAGTGATTGTTCTTAAGGTAATCTAAAAACAGTTTAGACTGATCTTGAAAAATGGGTAGTCATATGCCAAAAAGGTGTCTGAATCCCCAGTTTGTAAATGGTCTCTTTACAGATTTCGTTCCTCATTAATTAAAGCAAATTCCTGTTCAATCAAAACTCAAAACAAAATCGACTAAAACTTTAAGTTGTATTTATAGGTTCAATCATTTGCTATCACTATATACAGTAGTTTAAGAGACAAAATTATAATGCATGACAACTTTTTTTCTTTGGCATGGACAATAGAATTTTAAAATGATCCCTTATTCCCTCCTGAAACAATTTCAGTTAACTTTCGCACATAAAACTTTATATATGTGTAAAGATGGCAACCTACTGGATGTGGTGAAAATCTACGACATGAAAACAAAGAGGAGAACCATAAAATGGTTGTTATGTTGGTCATAATGACTAATATTTTCCTAATAGTCATTTAACTCTAGCAGTATGTTTGACTCTATGATATCCCTCGGTTATATGTTGCTTTTTTAGAGTATTGTAGGATGTAATAAAATTTGTCTAATAAGTGAAGCGTTCTTTACCCAACCCTAAACATTTATTATGCTCATTGCCTTCTGAGAAGGTTCTATACACTGATGTGTGAAGCCTCTGCACCTACTCACAAAATTTCAGTGGTAAAAAAAAAAAGGTGAAGCGTCAACAGCTTCTATGCTGCATCACTGAAATGCATAGTTTAATCATTTCTTTCGTTTTTATTTCAGAGATTGTTTTAACTTTGATGTTGCCCACCTGAGCCCTTAAAAAAGAAACACATAAAAGTTTTAGACAAATAGGTTTATAGTGTAAAAAAAAACATAGTAACATTATAAAAATTATAATAGGGAGCAGTCAGGCTGAACAAACCTGCTTATTTTTATACAAAGTTCTTTTTGATAGAATATAGCAATCAATATTTATCTGTTTTTATCAGAGTAATACAATGGAATCACTATTGAGAGGCAACAATTTGATTCTTGTCTCAGTTTTCAATGATTTAATTTCTGTTGTTTCATTTCAGCACAGATGCTCATGATTAAACAGGTATTTCTCTTAAAGGGATGATTGGAAAAACCTTTGACCTCTGTAGAAGTCTTCCTATGTCCAGCGAAATGTCTACTGGGCTTTTGAGTTTAATTTAAAGTCATTTAAATTATTCAATTAAAAACTAATTGTGAAAAAAAGATGGGTTTTATCTCTTTTGTTGAAAGTGGTCCACGAGTCTGAGCTGTATTGAAATGTAAAATCCAATACAAACTGCGGACTAATCAATGGATGAAGTGGTAGCTGAGGTAATACATCACCATGAAGGGTGGTTTGAGATGAGAGATCAAGATTCATGTCACCACAGTCAGATGATTCCCCAGTCTTGGGCCAATTATTCAAGAAGGCTCATCAATTAATCACTGTGACACACAAACAACCAGCAGGGCCAGGGGCCTTTTGGCCCTGCTGAACTGGGCGAGAGGCCTGCAGCTGACTTTGTCAGATCAATGGGGAAACAACACATTATTACCCTACTACCTCAGACCTGAGGAAACCTTAATAGTTTTTAGTTTTAGATTTCACAGTTTTTTCATTGAAGACATTTTGACAAGTCACAGTAATAACAGCACCGGTGTAAATAATAAAATGAATAATGCCTGAATTCCATGTAGCTGCTTCAGTTTCAGGGTCCTGGTGATGTGCATGCTGGCTCACTATCACACTGTCATGGCTTACTGAGACAGAATGGAGCCATCACTGATGTCACTACTAACATCTGTGTATTTCCCACTATGACAAGTCAAATATCTGCTGTGAAAAAGGCCTATTGTATTATAACTGCACATTAGGTTCTCTTGTAAGTTAAAGGTCCTGCACACTTTTGCAGACCTTAACCAACACTGGATATTTTAGGCCTGTACAAACTATGGTATTTGAAAGATAAAAAATATGATATATAATATGTACTTTTTAAAACAAACACATTATTGAAAAGACTGTCTTTGTTATGGGTCGCTTAAATTTGGTTAAAGTCACCAAGAACTGTGGCACGTGGGAAATTAACTTGTCAGTTTTCTCTGGCTGGCAACCTACATAATGATGATATTGTTTCTAAATCACAGCAAGAAAATAAGCTTTGAATTTCTGTACTGCAGTGTCTTGTAACCTATAGGCCAACATACACTGATACCTCTCTATGATAAACTGATAAACTGATGATCGGTCGATATTATTGGCTGAGCTGATTCATCAGTTCATCTCCACAGTTAAGTAATTTGGTTTTCAAGTACAATATAATTTAGGATTGGAATAATCTCATCATGCAGTTTATGATTAAAAGGGTATTTGTTACGTAAACTTGGATGACCTAAAAGGCATAACAGTCACACTGCTGCTGCCTGCTTGTTTAACTGCATTCTCATTCAAATGAAAAATAATGGAAGGATTTCATCTATATTTTTGTGAAGAACAACACATTGCACGCAGCATGGAACGAAATGACGACAAACAATCAATCAAAGCAAAAATGTTGATATGAAAGATAAAGAGGACATAAACATGTACATGAAATATCTATGGTAACTCAGGGCCTCCTTAGAGTAAATAGTTGAAAGAGTTATGCAAGTACTCATGCTTGCTAGTGCAAAGCCGTCATCAACACCAATGAACAAATTTTTAACTGGTGATGAATAATCCTGGATTCTTTGCACGAGATCTGAGGCCATCAGTTCTTTCTAAATAATTCAGGTTGGGGTGATTAAGTCACCCACAGTGAGTGACAGATGTAGGATTAACATGCTGGCCACTGGTTGTGCTGAGCTCAGGCGTTGGGTCTCAGCACTAACTGACACTGGGATCACAGAGGCTATGCTGGAAGCTTTTGCCAAGTTTGATTATGTAACATGGCCTGGGCAGGGTATGTCAGGCTTTGTGTGGCGTGGTAACATAGACATAGTGTAAGTGAGGCTTTCAGGATTACTGGTAGACAGTGTTAATGAATGCCTAATGCATGGAAGCATTATAGATTTTTTTTTTTCCATCAGTGTAACATGGATATCAGGACTCAGAATTTGACTTGACTCTGAAAGTGAGCCATCTTTTGATAGCTGTGATGTCAAACTGGTAATGTCATAGTAGGATTAGATGCCAAGAGGTTCTGGATAATTAAGGGCATGTCGGGATAAACTGCCCTGCAAGTGAGATGGTTGCTATATAATCCCAAACACATGGCATACAGATGGGATGAGTATATAGCCTATTGGGATGGGTAGACTATGACTTCAGTTACTATAATAGTCCTCAACAGGTAGAATCCCATGGTAGTCTTTTTGGGCATCCATGTGTTCGTGTCCACTCTACGTCAAAATTTATCTTTAGATAAGATATAGAGAGTTAAATGCAAAAATGCATGAAAAGGAAATTTTTCACATACAGTACTTATACTGGCTATTTCTACCAACCCCTCGGGCTGAAAATGGTACAATTCAATAATGGTTTGTAAACAGTTGTTTGCTTCTATAGAGCTATGAATGCCACTGGTGCACCAGCCTCTCCCTTCACACTCACAGCTCCTGCAAATAAAACCTATTAATTACCATATGGAGGCTGTTGCCACGTAACCCGCTGGCCAAAAAAAAAAAAACGTGCAGCTGGGGAACAAACCAGACACAACCTCAACAGAGACCAACACTTCCAATTATGGATACTGTAATTTGGTTTTAGACAGACAGACAGGCAGACAGACAGACAGACACATAGACAGATAGACAGATAGACAGATAGACAGATAGATAGATAGATAGATAGATAGATAGATAGATAGATTTTGATGATTTTTTCCTATGTCTTCATGAAATTCTGTCTAAATTACGAAACAGTAGACACCCAGGATCCCTTGGGAATGTCCCTTCTGTGATTCCCAGGGAACAGTTGATTAAGCCAGCTGGGGCCTGGACTCACACATTTGTTCACATGATATAAAACAAAAACTTTTACACCTACTGAAGACTTCTGGAGAAAGTTAAAGGATGTGAAAAGATGCAAGAAAGTGGCCTTGCCAGGCTCTCTGCCAGGCAGCCCATATAGACTAGTTATAATTAATGCTGGAACAAACTCCCTGTAGCCTGGACTCTTGATGACAGTAAAATGAGGGGAAATCGTGTTGAAGGGGCTATATAAAGCTCTACAGTGTCAAGCCGTATGTGGCTCTGTGGCCAATACTTTCACTGGTAAAAGTACTCCCTGTTCGTTCCTGTGATAGTATCACTCAATCAAGGCTACTAACTGGATGTCTGGGGTTTATGTTAACATAACTACGCCGTTCCTGCCTTGAGAATATTATCCACTACAGAAGAATTTATATACATGAATACATAAGCCAGTGAGTTACAAATGGACAATATAGTATATTTTTAGGTCACCAGATGTAGATAAAAGTAATCACATCAAGAACTCTATAATTATAAAATATAAATAACAAATTATGCCAGAAAGAAAAGACTGAGACAAAAATTTCCACTGGCATGGTATTAATAGAAACTAGAATTAACAACAAGTGAGTGATACATAGTGCTGTATTAGGAGATTAGTGATTGGTACACACTGAAGCATAAATCAAGTTATTCTATAAAGAGATACTGACTATGTGTTTTTAAAGAGAGACTTCACAACAGAATGCTTGCCAACTCACAGGCTTGAGTCAGAAAACTGAAAACGAAAGTGTTGCTGAGTTGATAAAAAGTACAAATGGATCCTTCTGAGGTCCTCAAGTGTGATGTGAATTTATCCAATGACTAAGACATGTTTTGTAGTCTGTTGGCCAAATGGAACAGACACGACAGCCCTGTCCTACTACCCACGCTTCTCATCTTGTGTAATAAGCCAAGAGCCCAGTGGGGTGGCCCATTAGCTGTCAACGATGCCCAAGTACACATCAAAAAACTGCAAATGTAAACAGGATTTTTAAAAACACAGAGGGTGACCCTCAGTTGATGACATCATCCTATCACTCACTTTAGTAAATATATGGGTATTTTTACAGAAGAAGACACTTGAACAGAACAAAGCCTTCATTAATGTTATTTGTAACACCTGTGCTTTTCCTCCTGTGACAAGTCTAAATGTCTGCCATGAAAACAGCCTTCTGTTCTTGGTCATCTAAAACTGTTCCACACTGTCATTATCTCATCCTGCTGATGAGAATCGGTAAACTTGCTGAAGGCCTGGCACACCCACACAGTCTCTTTTATTTAGACCTCTGCACCATATGTCACCAAACTCTAAGGAAACAAACAGAAAGGTATGAGACACGTCAATAGACTCTTTAGATGGCAGACATTTTGACTTATCGAAGCAGGGAAAGCACAGGTGTAATTAATAACATTAATTATGGCTGTAGGTGAGCTAGTTCCACGGTTTGGTATTGTATATGTCAGCTTACTGGATAGGCTTTGTGGGACACTTAATTAAACAATGCAGTTGTTAATGTGTGTGGCTCTTGTTATGATAAGTCAAAATTTCTATTGTGAAAAAGCTCTATCAAGTGCAGACTGTGCAGGACCACCAAGTCCTGAAAATGGGTCTAATCAAGCACAATAACTGAAAACACCTGTGTGAGTGACTTAACGTTGTATAGTTTCTTAAGAACTGCAAAAACAACTGATAAACATTATACCAGATATCAGATATACCAGAGAAATCAGAAATTTTGATAGATACAGTTGATTTGTTGCAACCAAAATTGCCCTCTCTAGCTTTGACATGAGATGTTTGAAACCAAATGTTTATGTCTTCTCTATTATTTTAATAGTCGGTGGCTCCCATGTTGACTGCGTCCTCCCCTGACAGCACTGTAATTCCGAGGTCTAACCTGAGAAAGGGACAGTGTGTAGCATTAAACATTGCGACACATGTGCCTTATCTTCTCCCAGTCACAGTAGGTGCCTCTAGTCTATCCTGATTCATGATGCAACATGAATGGAGAACCCGAGGGGACATGAAGGGGCCACTCTCATTTCCTGGCTCTCAACCCTTGGTAATTACCTCTGTGTGCCCAAAGGCCTTCAGTGTGTTTTAGATAAAGAGAGAAAGAAAGAGGAATACAGGAAAGTTGTGTAGAAAAAACAAAATACCCTTACTGTAACAGATACACAGTTCAGTTTGATAACAACCAAGAGGCACAAGCCATGATATATTAGTTCTATTTACTTGGATATTCTCTTATGCATCTCTGTGCAAACCATACTGTATGTTTTATGCATCAGTTGCCAATTTCCCCAAATGAATTTGATACATAGTTTACACAAAAATACAATAAATACAATCCACATATAGTTTCAGGGTTATTTGCTGAGGTTTGAAGATAGCAGCTGTTCTTCAGCCCAACACAATGGAGCTCAGAGGTATTTTGTGGGGCTCAAAGTGCCTGTAAAATTACATATGAAAAACTGATCTCCATCCAAATAATAATCCTGAAAATCAACAGAACATGTGGTGAACAATGTCTTCCTTCTGGATTAAGTTAGACAACTGGTGAATATACACTTCTGCAAAAAGTAAGCTTTAATTAAAAAGTATTCACACTGAGGTAATTTTGGGCGACTTTGAGTACCACAAACCAAATGCCAGTGAGCATGGTTTTACTGGGACAAGTCAATAGCTTCAAACTTAAGCAATTCACACAGTCACACAGAAGAAAACTGGGAGTCAGCAAAACTGGGTCTGTCCCAGCAGTGAAGTCATGAGAACAGACACAGAGCTGCGACTACAGTCTCTCTGGTGTTCCCAGGGGTAGACTCAAATCTGTCAGCGCCCTTCTCTAATGCATCTCTCAGTAGAAAGCAACGTGGATAGGATCCTTCTCCCCAAATACCCCTCCACACACACATACACCCCACACCCTCGTCACAACTCCAACCCCAGCCTACCTAGACTATGCCAACATGCATGGATCATCTCTTGCTGGCTGGCACTGCTCTGTCCCAGGACACAGACCTCACTCTAGCCAGGACAACATCTCCAGTGTCAAGCAGAATGAGGGTCTTTGTTGCTGTAGATTCAATACAGGACCTCACTTGCAGGGGTAGTTGGGTAGTTTTGATATGGAGAACAGTATCCCTTTTAACAGAAGTGGAAATGTGACAGTTAGAAAAACCCTGCAGACCATGTTTGAATTGTTGTTTTTATATTAAAAACACTTTCAGTATTGCATTAAACTAACTGTGGCATGTGGAGGCTTCTGTTGTGAATAACTAGGTTCGTCTTTTCACTAATAGGCTGTTTTTTTATCCTCTCAATAAAGAAACCATTCCCAAACTCTTGTGCATTACGTTCTGTTTCTAATTGATTGTTATGAATGTTTTCAAGAAAAATATTATTTTTTGCTTTTCTCTCCACCTCAAATGAATGACATAATAAAAATAAAAAAACTTGTTGAAAAAGATTGAACTGACACACAAAAAAGAAAGGGCAGTGAATCATCACACAATTGAATGGGGTGGTTACATAAGACAACAAAGCATTTCACTGTTGCCACTGAAACAAAAAATCGAAATAATTCACCTTATCAACTTTACCACACAACAGAACTCCACACTGTAATATTTACATTGCATGTATGAGCCAGCTAGGTAGCTGCTACGATGCGTTTTCCAAGTCCCTAACGTTGATTAATGCTAAGTGTCAGTTGGCTCAAAAAGGTTCCAGGTTCAAAGGTAATGTATTTGTATTTCTCCAGTTACTTTGGTGTTGTTTTAAACCACTGTGTTCGGCGTTAAGCTTACCTTTCTCTCTGGCCTTTCATGAACTGTTGAGCTCGGATTGTTTACTGTGTAAACTGCGACATCTTGTGATGCGGTTCAGTCATCACGCTGCCGTTCAGCGTTGAACGATTGGTCCCCTCTCTAACCAATCAGCGAAAGGAATACTGACAAGTCACGAGATTAACCAATGAACGCTTACGTCTTTCAAAAGAGAAATGACGTACGTTGCATTGTGAAGCAGAGGAGCTACAAACAAATATCTTTCATGGTTTAAAAAACTGGAAAAGTTAGGTAAGCAACAAACTTTGTATGAACATGGTGTGACCAGGCTTGTCCTATTTGCTGTTGCATTTGTGATATTTTGCCGCCAGCAAGACACCTTTCTTTGAATCCATTGGTGAATGACTTCGGCAGCTAACGGCTAACGTCAGTCGGCCAAAGAGCTAATGAATAACGTAAAGGATGCTAGACTGAGCAGTGTATAAAAGCGTGTAAGAGTTACCACAAGATAGCGTTAATGACACAATCTTGGAAATGCTATATTATCACCATTTTATTATTATTGTTATTATTATTATTACTACAAATGCGTGGTCGTTCCTAGCAGGATGAAGGTGGTCAACCTGAAGCAAGCCATTCTGCAGGCATGGAAGGAGCGTTGGAGTGACTACCAATGGGCTATTAACATCAAGAAAAACTTTCCAAAGGGAGCAACATGGGACTATCTTAACCTTGCAGGTTAACAGAAATAAAACGCATACTATACTAATTATTTGACATTATGCGAAGTATCTTACTGTCGTTCCTCTTATGGCTCTAAATGCTGTTTGTGTATTCCAGAGGCCCTGATGGAGCAGGCAATGATTGGTCCCTCTCCTAACCCCCTTATTTTGTCATACCTCAAATATGCAATAAGTTCCCAGGTAAGTAAAAAAAAAAAAAATGGTGTAACTGAGCAATGTGTCAAACAGTAGTGACATTATTTTGTAAGTTGTGAATGTAACCCCCTCTCTTCCTAGATGGTGTCTTATTCCAGTGTACTAACAGCCATCAGCAAGGTAATGTATACTTGATGAAAATTATGGCAACATGCAATGTACCGTAAGATACAGGAGATTTTAATATCGCATGCCTTTTTTCTCTTAGTTTGAAGATTTTTCTCGAGAGCTGTGTGTCCAGTCACTATTGGAGATAATGGACATGTTCTGTCATCGTCTCAGGTATGTGAAATTATCCATGCCAGTTGTGTATCAACCTCTTAGTTTCATACACTTGCCACACTTAATAACACCCACATCCCAAATTTAACACTGCAGCCAATTGTGATATCCATGTTTTGCATCTTAGATGATATGCACGACACACACTAGAATTATTAGTACATTAGAGAAACAGTTCAAACAAAATCATTCCAAACTACAGAACTAAGCCTGTGTTAGTTGCACAAATGTTAATGGTATAGTTTTATGACATTTTCAGATTAAATCATGTATTACCAAAACACAACAGATGCGTGAAACCTATTTTGACTTCTTTCTTTTTTTTAATAATAATAATAATAATTAATAAGACTAATGTATAATATGCAGTTTGGAATACACTCCAAATATTATCTGCCGTGAGTTGCAGGACTTGGCTTCTAACAGAAAACCTCTAGCCAAGAATCTGTTTTCATTGGTTGCATAATAAACATGTTGAATTGGTTACACAGTTGGAATTCCAATTTCCCTTGTTTTGCCTAGATGTCTAATTAAAACCTGCTGCTCATCCAGAGTACTGCTGTGTTCAGTGGTAGAATAAGAGATTATATAATACCAAGATCAGCCTTCTTCCACCAGTCACTTTTTTACTTAAAACACTAGATGAGCAGTTCAGGTTCTATGGGCACATTTTATGCCTGTTCCATCTCAGGACTCATTAGGACCAAGAGTCCAAACACTTTAGCCTATTCTGTATTTATTTAGTAGAGTTATTAACCTTAAACTAGACTAACTGGTCTTTTAATTTTACTCTGGAAGTTCCCAGGCACTTTGTTGTTTTTTTATAGATTGTTATTACTATTTCTAAAAAGCTATACATTTCTTCTCATTCTTGTTTAATGTTTTAATCAACTGACTCTCATTTCTGACTCTTAAGCTGTCACGGGAAAGCAGAGGAATGCATCGGGCTGTGTCGTGCTCTGCTGGGAGTGGTGGTGTGGCTGATGCAGGGCTGTGCCTGGTACTGTGAGAGGCTGAGAGAACTGGGCCCATCGGCTAGCACAGAGGCCAGTTTGAGAGCCTGCCAGGAGAGGCTTCACAATCTGATGACCAGCACCAAGAACAGAGCCCTGGTCCACATTGCTCGGCTAGAGGAACAAGGTGTTAAGATTGTGTATGTGTGTGTGTTTGTGTGCATGCATGTATGTGCGCTTGTGGGGTTGTGCATCATGCATAAGGGTACAAATGTCAATTTTTGCCACAAATATGATGATGATTCTTTCCCTGCCAAAGCTTTAGAAAAGCAGTCTGTAATCCCAATGTTATTCCTCCACAGGATCATGGAGCAGTGTAGAGCAAGCAATGTTGAAAGTGACAGATGGCCTCAGCAGTGTACCTAACCAGACATTAAGGACTAACCTAGAGGAGAGCTTGTCACTAGTAAAAGGGTAAAGATTCCCATCTCATTCCTAAATAATTAATACACAGAGCTATTTAACTTTGGCATGTCGTTCCTGTAAAGACCATCAAAGTCAACTCTTCACTCTCTCCTCAGTATTCCTGTGATGCTGTCAGTACAATGTGACCCCCCACTCCATGCCTCCTTCCCATCAATCCATGCCTTCATCATGCTGGAAGGGACCATGAATTTGACAGGGGAGACACAGCCGCTTGTGGAGCAGCTGATGATGATCAAGAGAATGCAGGTGAACACAGAAATGAAACGTAAAATAAATTTTCAAGTTAGCAGGTCAAACTGGCAATGAAAGGAAAATGCTTGAAAAGTCTTTTAATGCCTAGAAATTAATTCAGTATGAGGGGTACACAGTGAGGTAGGTTTAATCAAAGTGCTCAGTGTTCTGTGTCCTGATAAAAATGAAAAAGGCACAAGAGTAGTAAAAGTTCTATTTTGTGAGAGAGTCCAGCTTTCTACAGACAGCCATGTGATTTGTCTGTTAACACTGCTCTATTTTTAGGTAAAGTCTGTCTGTAAATTTTCACCTGCCCTTTGTTATGGTAAAAAAATTCACATCATGTTACTAAAACCACTTCCAATAAAACTTTAATGTTCAGTATATACTTGCAGAGTATCAGTGTTACACTTGCCAAATGAAAGGCTGGGCTCCGTTGTTCCATATATTTTACTTTTATTAGCAGCAGTCTTCTCAAATTCTTTGTCGTCCTCAGCAAATTCCTGCTCCTCTTTTTGTCCTGGAGATCTGGAAGGCTTGCTTCACCGGCCTCATTGAGTCACCAGAGGGCACAGAGGAGCTCAAATGGACTGCCTTCACATTCCTCAAGGTAAGATCTATTTCAAAGACGAGGACTGGACTCATCTACAGTTCTCTGCCTTCTCTGACCCTGAGTGTTGATTGTATTTGACTTTAGATTATTGGCAAAAGTCCATATTAAATTGTTGAGAGGAGATTATTTTCTCCACTTTCTCAGTCATGTTTGTTTTGTCAGTATATTGTTTCCACTTAATAATAAAAAGACTTGATTCTATTTTTAGACTGTTGAACTTTAGGTCATCGCTGAAATTTAGTGTGCAAGGTAAAGTAAGGTCAACTGATGCCACTGTCAGAATGACATGTGACCACCAAAGAAAACTCAACCACTCTTAAAGAAATCCATTTCTTGTTTCTTTATCGTAGATCCCACAAGTCTTACTCCGACTAAAGAAGTATCCACAAAGTGACAAAGGACAGGTATGTCTTTTTAATAAATGAACACATCTGACATTAGTTCCAACATAGCAATAAGTGTTGTTTATGTGTTGAAAGCTGGGTTAGGCAGAAATCTAGAAATACATTTTTAAAAAATGCCGGAATTGAAGAAAGCCATCCTTCTGCAGCTCTCCCCTCACAGGCATATGCACACGCTTCATACACACACACAACATGAGCAACACAGCCACAGCAGTGAGCTTTTGGCTCATGGTTAGCAGAAGGCTAAACTATTAGCAACATTCAACATAGCCACTCATCGCCTGCTTTCATGGTAAATCTACTTACACAACCAGCCACTCCAACACACACAGATATTCCAGGAAAATGAAGTTAGCAGTCTGTAACCTGCCCGTGAAAAGTTCGCCCCATCTCTGAAACGCTTCACCAATATTGACACATATCCATCTGAAGCGATATGCACACACATCTGCATTTTTAGCAGAGCCAAAAGGAACACACACACACTCTCTCTGAAAAGACCTGTGATTGGCCAAAGTCTCCTGTCACAGGCTACATTTTCCAAAGCCTGAAAACAGAGCAAAAATGGGGTGCAGACGTCTAGTTTGCTCTCAGGCCACTTGAATTACAGTATGCTGAAAGGTGATTATGGAAGTTTTTCTCTGTTGATGCCAAAAAATGACTGCCTACCTCAGCTTTAAACTGTAATGTTGATCATTCACTGCCACTTTTAAACTTGGCAAACATATTTTCCAGGACTTCATGGAGGACGTAAACATTGCATTTCAGTACTTACTCAAGCTCACTCCACTGCTGGACAAAGCTGATCAGAGATGCAAGTAAGTGCACCAGAATCTTGCTGTCTGTAATCTACAGTAAAACACTTAGAAAGCCATGATGCTTATAATTATTTTTTTTTAATCATTTCGCATGTGCTTCTTTACATAGTTGTGACTGCCTCGGCATGCTCCTACAGGAGTGTAACAAGCTTGGTCTGCTGTCAGATTCAAATACAACCTGCCTCACTTCAAAACGGTACGAGTTCCCATCTCAGAAGGAATACGTATGATACAGAACATTTCAGGAAAATGACTTTATCGAGAATTAAGTGCATCAGAAACCCCTGTTTTCTGTCTTCTTCTTTTTTTTTCTTCTTTTTCTGAACTCTTTCAGTTAATATGATCATGGATGAAATTTTGTTCACCATATTCACACAATAT